CATATTGAAGTTACGTCAAGCAGCATTAAAGAAAGAAGATGCAGATCTTCAACTGGAATTAGAGAAATTGGAACGAGAGCGAAATCTTCACATTCGAGAATTAAAACGAATACATAATGAAGATAATTCTCGGTGAGTAATGTATTTTGTTTTTTTACATCTTTAAATTGGGAAAATTTGGTGAGGTCCAAGGAAAATAAGCTTCAATAAATTTACAAGACAAACAGAGCCTTAAACTAAATTTTTTAGTTTTATTATCCAGATTACTGTATTTCTTAAAAGAGATTGTAAAGAGGGTTTCTAAATTTTTTATAGGCCCGTTTACCCGAGATGGACTTGGACCCGCGGATTTACTGACTCGTGTTGACTCCGGAGATCAAAATTTAGAAAACCTCTTTACAATTCCTTTAAAATCTAGATTTTATAATGGTTTTTGAGAATTTAGGCCCAAGTTTTAAAATATTTATGACTTTGTTATCTATTTGTTGTGACTTTGTTATCCATTGTGATGTTGTTATATTTGTTATGACGTTGTTATCTTTCTATTTATAGGTTTAAAGAACATCCAATACTAGCTGAACGTTATTTATTATTAAGTTTATTAGGGAAGGGAGGTTTTAGTGAGGTTCATAAAGGTTTTGACCTGAAGGAACAACGATACGTCGCGTGTAAAATACATCAGTTAAATAAAGAATGGAAAGAAGATAAAAAAGCCAATTATATAAAGTAAGATGTTTTCTCTTTGTCGTGCAAAATTTTGTCGTAATTAAATGGAGCAGGGTTTAATTAAAGGGACACATGTGCCATTTTGGGGGTTGATTTGAGTGATTAGACACATGTGGATTTGAAGGCTCAAGACGGCCTTTTTGAACATTTGTCAGTTTGATGAGACTGTCAGCCCATCAAATTCCTTTCCTCTTCAACGCTGTGATTTTGTGACACGAACAAAAAATGCAATTCATGTCTAATGCTTCTCGGAATACATTGTTTTTATTTCAAAATTTCTATCATTGTTCACTGCAGAAAAGTTTAGAACCATGGGTGTTTTTTTAACTTTAAGTGATACTACGTCTTAGAATGAACATAAAATTTAATTCTCAAGAATGGTCAATATGAGTATATATTCATCAGTGAACTTACCTGGTGTCATAAAGTTACAACAAAATCCCTGTCAAATCTAGAAAATTGGAAAATTTATAAAACTAAGTAATATTATCATTTTCAATAGTTAATTGCATTTTTATTAAGTTTTTTAGATTTATCTGATTATATAAGGATCCTGTTATGTTATTTATGACACCAGGTATATCTACTGGCTCTTATTAACCAAGTTTAAAATTCTTCAATTTTATGTTCATTCTAAGATGTAGTATTCCTTTAATACATTTATTTATTTTTTTAAATTTTCCCCCATTCTCCACTGTAA